TTCAGTACAAATTTAATATAATTAATTTACTAATAATTCATTATTTAAAATATGAAAACAACATAATTTTACCTACATTTTTCTTATACCATAAAAGTTTATATTATAATCGTAACTAAATAATAAAACTTGCAATTAAACAATAAAACTTGTAACTAAATACTAAAACTATTCTATATAAAACATTAACAATATCTAAGGATATAATTTTCAATATTTATTTATTATAAATTACTAATATCAAAATTTAATACAACACACAAAATTCTTTTTATCTTTTATGTAACATAAAATCTAACAAACTATTTTTATAATTAAATAATGAAATAATTCTATCTAATTTAATACACAATCTATGGTTTTTTATATAATACCAAAATATATTTTTACAATTAATATTAAAAAATAATCATCTAGCTAAAACACAAATTAAACTAAACATAAATTCATGAGATATCAGATATCAAAAACAAAATTTAAGATTTAATAATATTATAATCTATCATTTTAACAATTAAATACAAATTATATTTTCGGATTTTACTTAAAAAACATAGAATAATTAAAAAAATTTTAAATAAAAAGAAAAAAATTTCAGAAAACTCACTTATAGGGTAGATTAGAGAGAAGTATACTTGTGGATGCCAAGATCAAACGAAAAACATAGCAGATCTGCAAAAAAAAAAAAAAAAATTCTTAGGCTGTCGAAAAAAAAAATATTAGGCTGTGAAAAAAAAAAAATACTTGTAGATGCCCAGATCCAGCGAAAAACACAGCAGATCTACAAATAAAAAAAAAAACAAATCTTAGGTTATCGAACAAAAAAAGATTGTTAGGCCGTGAAGAAAAAAAAAAAACACACACCAATGAAATCGCCAGCCACTAATCGATGGGAAAATGCTATTTGCCTCTGTCGTTGGCCAAAGATTAGGGGAGGAGAAGCTTGCAGCACAGAGGAATAAAAAAGGAAGAAAAAATAGAGGAAAATCGGAGATGTAATGCAGAAGGGGAGGGGACAGGTGTCGCGAGGAAAAAGGCCATGGGGAATCGTATATGAAGCGATCTCGGTCCGTATAACTCTGACAGTGGGTCCCAACGTCTCATCATTTCAGGGAATCTCTGACGACTATATTCAGACCGATTTCGGTCTGAATATCAATAATTATTCAGATGTGTAACGGTCCGTAAATTCAATTGATCTTGGCACTTTACTCATGATATATACTGATCGATTTTGGTCCGTATATCTTTATTTAAATAATATTTTATTTTTAATTTTTGTAATTTAATATTTATTTTTACGAAAAAATATTCAGACCATCTTCGGTCTGAATATCTATGGATATTCAAACCAAAATTGATCTAAATATTAAATGAAAATCTTCATTTTCTGAGTTATATATACGGACCAATTATGGTCCATATATATTCATTTAAATAATATTCTATTCTTAATTTTTTTGTTATTTAATATTTTTTTTATGGAATAATATTCGGACTGTCTTCGGTCTGAGTATTATTGGCGCATTTCCACTGTTGATTGCTGCCATAAATATACGGATCCGAGTATGTTGATGAATCAATATCATACCACCTTAATATATTTAGACCGATATTGGTATGAATTTAAACTTATATGGACCGACATGATTCGGTACGTATATGATCGGTTTGAATTACTACTTTTTCTAGTAGTGAACAAGTGGGTGTTCAAGCTCAAGAAAGATGATGACAAGATAGTTAGATATAAGGCTCAGGTGGAGGTAAAGGGCTTCAATCAGAAAAAGGAGATTGATTTTGATGAAATATTTTCCCTAGTGATGAAAATGAGCTCAATTCGAGTTGTGCTCGGTCTAATAGCAAGCATTAATCTTGAGCTTGAGTAGTTAGATGTGAAAATTGCATTTCTTCATGGTGACTTGCATGAAAAAATTTATATGGATTAGCTAGAAGGTTTTAAAGAAGAAGGGAAGCAGCACATGGTTTGCAAGTTGAAAAAGAGCTTGTATGGACTGAAACAAGCTCCAAGATAGTGGTACAAAAAGTTTGACTCTTTTATGATGAGTCATGGCTATAAAAGAACAAATGCAGATCCATGTGTTTACATCAGATCATTCCCTGATGGCAACTTCATTATCCTTCTGTTATATGTTGATGATATGCTGATTTTGGGACAAGATGTTGAGAAAATTTGCAAGTTAAAAGAAGAGTTATCAAAGTCCTTTGACATGAAGGACTTGGGACCAGCAAAGCAAATTTTAGGTATGGCTATTATTGTGGTTATCATAGGAGAAGTATGTTAAACAGATGCTTGAAAGGTTCAACATGAAACATGCTAAGCCAGTTAGCACCCCTCTTACAAATCCTTTCAAGTTGAGTAAACAATCTTGTCCAAGTACCAAAGAAGAAAATGAGAAAATATCATCTATTCCTTATTCTTTTGCGGTCGGTTCACTGATGTATGCGATGGTATGTACACAGTTAGACATTGCTCATGTTGTTAGTATCGCGAGTAGATTCTTGTCTAATCTAGGCAAGTTTCACTGAGAAGCTGTTAAGTGGATTTTTAGATATTTGAGAAGAGCTACCAAGTTGTGTTTGACTTTCGAGCAGACTAAACCAATTCTAAAGGGATACACAGATGCAGACATGGCAGGTGACTTTGATAATAGAAAATCTATTTTAGGGTATTTATTCACTTTTGCAGGGGGAGCTATATCATGACAATCAAAATTGCAGAAGTGTGTTGCCTTGTCAACAACCGAAGCTAAATACATTACAACTATAGAAGCTGGTAAAGAGATGCTTTGGATGAAGAGATTCCTTTAAGAATTGGGATTGAAGTAGAAAGAGTACGTAGCATTTTGTGATAGCCAGAGTGTTATAAATTTGAGTAAGAATACTATGTAACATGCTCGAACAAAAAATATAGATATGAGATATCACTGGTTGCACTTGGTGACAAAGAACAAGCAGTTTCAACTAAGAAGGATTCACACAGATAATAATGTTGCTGATATGATGACGAAAGTTCTTCCCAGGGAAAAGTTTGAATATTGCATGGAGTTGGCCAAGATGGACTCCAAGTAAGGAGTCGAGGGTTAAGTCTCCTCCCATGGGGCTGGAGGGGGAGATTGTTGGCAAAAACTTCTAGCCCTTATGAACACATGGACTTTCCATGTGGTAAATTTTTCACACCCTATGGTAAAAGGCTGCACCTATAGCAGGACTTGTTGAAGTCTTGCATGGTTATTTCAACTATTGCAAGCTTACTCATTTAATGAAGGAAGAAAATCATGCATGGGTGGTTGGGTTTTTACCCTATAAATACCCAAGCAATGGCAAGCAAGCAAGAAGCAAGTACAACCCCAAGAGAGCAAAGTGAGAGCTAGGCATTAAGCTTAGGTGTGTGTGTGCTCCATAGAGAGAGTACATTGAGTGATAAAATTGTAAGTTTATCAAGATTGTGATCATATCCTAGGGGAGAGTGGGAAAGACCAAGAGAGAAAAATACTTGAGTGTATTCTTTGTACAATTTTATCACATAGTAAAATACTCTTCGGAGTTTGTCCCATAGTTTTTTCCCTCAATAGTTTTTGAGGGTTTTTCCATGTAAAATTTGGTGTTGTCTCATTATTTATTTTCCCTCTTAAGTGATTGGTTAAACCTCCCATTTTATTTTATTTTCTTTCTAAGTGGTTGGTTAAACCACCTATTTTTATTTTGCTTGGCTGGCTACACTGCCTTTTCACTAACTATTAATATTGGTCGGCTAAGCTGCTTGTTTCATCGTCCTCTGTTATTCTTCACGTGTTTTTGTTCATAGGAATTAGTTTATTCCACTACTCCAATTTTCCCAACACACATGTCCATGAGTGTATCTGGAACTGTTGTTATACAATCTCCTAGAGGATCTGAGTCATTGTCACTACAAAGCTCTATGGTAGGCATTCGCTATAAGTATCTCATTGAACAAGTTGAGTGAAGTCCATTGTGTTTTATGTGCTAGGTATATATTTGATTGGGTTTTCAAGTCTTGTGCAGTCTAGCAGCCATTGTGCTTCTCTTGAAGATGCCTAAACTAGTGGAACTATTGTAGTATGTTGCCAAAATGATGGTTTTGATTCTCCTAGAACTCCAAAATCTAGGCTAGGTATTCTAGAAAGAAATTCAAATACCTCACTCGAAGACAATGCAACAAAACTTGTAGAGGTTGTTGATACGTTTGTTTTTTTTTTTTTGAACTTTCTTGGAGTGCTTTCTTAATCTGTGATGAATAATTTTGCAGTTTCTTGTTTGGTTTTGTATCATGGTAGAAATTAACTACTCAACATGTGTTTAACTAAGAGCTGAAAATTTCTGGATTCTTCCCGTATTCAAATATTATGTGGGCATGTTTTTTTTCTCTTGTATCTACAATTTTCCTTAAAGTTTCATTCATAAAGACATTATTTTGGACTGCCGAATTCTTATTCAAGTTGGTCAGCTTGATTACCCCAATTTCTTTTTGATAAATATCTAAGGTTTCCTTTGAAATTTGATTTTATTGTAGGCTTGTTAATCCAAAACTATTAACATGCTTGGTGTTGAAAAAGCTTATCTTTTGGCTGATGATGCAAGCAAAGGCTACAATGCAAGCAGGATTGAGAAAAGGAAGTACGAGAGAAAGGTCTACATTAGGCATGGTATGTATTTTTACTTCGGAAAGTCAAAGAGGAGACGAAATGGCTAACAGCTTTGATTCCTGTAGGTAAATACAATTACAGATTTGTTCATTTATTTCTATATTATAGAATTTTATTTGGGTTAAATCCCTTTTTGGTCTGTCTACTATGGAAAAAACCCCTTTTTAGTCCCAATATTGAAAAAATCCTCTTTGTCTTCCTTAAAATTTGAAATTCGATCCCTTTTTAGTCTATCTGTTAAGTTTTGGCTGATGTGGTAGGTTAATTAACAGAATTGTCAAATTTATTTTCTTTGTATAAATGACATGGAAAATACAAAAGTAAAAAATAATGATGTGGCATTCCATGTAAACATTGAACATAACACATAATTTATAAAAACTAAAATTTTGAAATTAACCTAATCCCTTCTTATTCATCATTCAACCCTTCTTCCATATAGACATCCAAATCCCAAATAATAAAAAAAAAAAAAAAAATACACAGATCAACAATTTCATATAATCAAAGATCTAAATAGCAAAATGATAGCAACACAAACTTGGGTTTTGAGAGGAACCCAATGTCGCACCTGGGTTGAACAAGGAACCTAGCGCCACACCTGGGTTTTGTGACGAACCCAATGCTTGGGGTTAACCAACCACAACATTATACACTAACACTACCGTGAAAGATATGATAATAAATTCATTTGTTTGCTCATGCACATCAAAAGTCCCTTCAGAAAAATTCAAATGCTATTCTAAATACTCAAAGCCTTCTAGTAGTTCTGGAGATACATTTCTAGCTGAATTCTAGCCTAATTTTTTTGTCTACTATACCTTTTTGAAGATTTGGTTCAAGGACTTGTGGATGGGTTCTCCTAGGTTCACAACAAACCCAACTCTGATTTGGGTCGTGAACCCAGATCTAGATTCTAAGAACCTAACCTACCAACCACATGGTTCTTAGATAAAGGACCATGGGGTCCTTGATCGGAAAACATATTGGATGATTATTGAAAACCCATAAAGAACTTGAAGTTGTGGAAAAGGATGAAGGAAAGGATATATATAATGACAGTTTCATGGATGATTATTAGATGGTAGATGAGCATGACAAGTACGACTAGATCTAGAATCCTTGAACCTAGAAGCGACTAGCTTCCTTCGAATTCAAAGATTGTGCAAAGATGAGTGGGAAAGGTAAGAGAAGGAGGGGCATGAAAAGAAATGGGGATTGTAGAAAGGAATCTTAGGCCTTCTTCGTTTACAACAAAAAGTAGATCTGATGAGGGGGAAGAAGATGAAGAAGATGAGGAAGGGTCGCGAACCTAGTTTTGATTTGGGAAGAAGACAGAGGCAAATAAGTAATTATAGTTAATTACTCTTAATCATAAAAAAATAACCTTTAAAATAAGGTTAAACCCCCTTTTTGGTCCTTCAACTATTGTACGGACCCCCGATTAAGTCCCTGAGCTCAAAAAATCCCTGACTTGGTCCTTATTGTTTACCATTTTTACCCCAATTTGGTCCTTCCGTTAAAAATCCCTCCACGTGTACTGTTAATTCATAGTAAGATGATGACATGTCAAAATTTTAATCTAAGTGGAAGACAACATGGCAAAAGCTAGTGACATGGCAATAAAAATTTAAAAAATTCTTTCTCCTTCCTCTTCATTTCCTGAACCCAGAGCCTGGGATCGTCGAACCCGTCGCCATGGGTTCCCTCAAACCCAACTCGGCGTTCCTCATTCCCTTTCTCCTTCCTCTTCATTTCCTTCTTCATCAATCAATTCATCATCATCATCATCATCAAACAAAACCCACAAAACCACAATTTATTTATTTATTTTTTTGTTGAAGAACCCAGTGCCTGGGTTCAATCAAACCCGGTGCTGGGTTCGCTCTGCCTTTCCTTCTTCATCAATCAATTCATCATCATCATCATCAAACAACACCCACAAAAACACATAAATTATTTATTTATTTTTTTGTTGAAGAACCCAGTGCCATCGAACCCAG